GTCGGATGCTTAACCGACTGCGCCACCCAGGCGCCCCCTTTTTTATAAAGTCCCAGTCTAGGGGCACCTGGGTGTTCGACTCCCGATTTCGGCCCAGGTTATGGTCTCACGGTTCGTGGGTTCGAGTCCCACGTTGGGCTCTGCGCTGACAATGTGGAGCCTGCTTGGGATTCTGTCTCCCTCTCTCTCTCTCTCTCTCTGCCCCTCTCTGCCTCATACTTTCTCTGTCTCTCCAAAAATAAATAAATAAACTTAAAAAAATATTTTTTTTCTTTTTAAAGTCCCAGTTTACCTGTTGGAGACCCGGCCCAGCTACCGGGACCCCGGCCGCAGTAAATGGTGCAGAAGTGGGAAAGGTGGCCTCCTGGAACAGGGGTAATAACCGAAACATGCGTTTACAGGGACGGCACCCGGAAACCAGAGACATCATGCACTTTGCCCAAGGCTACACAGCGGGGCTGAGATGAAAATCCGGGTTTCTCTGGCTCTCTTCCACAGGCACCCCAACGGCCAAGCATTTGTGTCTCCCTCCGGCTCCTGCCACCTGAGAGCTTCCAGAAGAGCCGACCCCAAGTCATCATGGCGCTTTGTTTCTCTGCAACTTTGTTGCTAAACATCATAGTCTTTATTCGCTCCTTGTGGCCGGGAGCAGGACCAGCGCTGGAGACGGGAGCCCCCTCTCCTTCCCCAGCCCTCATCGGCCCTCCCTCCCCTCACCTCACAATCTGTGCGGGTGGTCCAGAGGCCCCTCCAAAGTCTGGCACTCACTCACCCCTCCAACCCCATCCCCTGCTTCGCCAAGCACCCCCGTCTCCCTGCCTCTGCTCAAGTGGCCCCGCAAACCGGGAGCGTCCGCTCCGTCCCCGGGCTCCCCATCAGGCTCAGCTCGGTGTCTGGGAGACCAGGAATGCGCCCCATACCTCGGGCCAAGGCTGAGCGCGCTCGCTAGCCTGCGGGAAACCACTCTGTGTCCCTCAGGGTGGCAGTCAGCCAACGCTCAGTCGTGACGAATTCGGCCATGGGTTCACACGGACTTTGTGGCCGGAAGGTTGTTTGCTCCCTGAGCTAAGATTGATGCTGCAGCTTCTGACCTCGGAGAAGAACTCCCCGAGTAGTGACTACACCCTGCACCCTCTAAGAGACAAAGCCACAGGGAGACACAAAAACGCGCAGCTGTTTCCAAAGACGGTCACGTTAGAAAGTCCTTCCATCTCTTATTCTGAGTATCTTTGCTTTTCTATATTTGTGTGTGGCTCCAGCTGTATTAATGTCTACGTGAAAATAGAACATGACGGCAATGAGATCAGGCTCGTGACGGTTTGGAAAGAATTCAGTTGAACTCTATAAATTAAATTGTTGAAAGTCGATTCCAAAAGCAGATGGTGCTCCTTCTGGAATAAGCCCTCCGAGAAATAGGGAACAAGCAGAAATGCCCCGTCTGACGGGGAGGCATTAACCACCTGCATCTCGGACGCGGGCAGGATGGTTGCTGTAGAATTCCGGGGCCCTGCCTTCATTCAGCAACGGGGCAGGCGGCTGTGGCTCGCACCCGGAGGACGTGGCGTCGCCCGTCGGGAGGTGATGCCACCTCCCAGGCCGCCGCACACTGAGCGCTCGCCACCTGTCAGGTGCCCTGTCCTGCTTGTGTTCATCCGTTCAGTCCTGGTGCTGCAGACGAGGAGCGAGCCTCCCCGCACAAGGTCACACCTGTCACCATAGCTCCGGGGTTGGGGGTCACGGGTCTCCTTGGAAAACTAGATAAGTTCTTCCCAAAAAAAGTCCGGAACACAGGACCCTGCATGGTTCCTGAAGACTCACGTGCACGCTCCACTTGTGTCTCTCCCCCCAGGCTCGCCCCCCTCCCATTGTGATCAGATCCACACTGTAGTCACCGTGGGGGATGACGGTGCGTGAGGGCTGCAGTGGGGGTCTCGGAAATAAGGGGATTAGCATCTTCCTGAGACGTAACATTGGCGGCTAAGAAATCGCCAGACATAGGAATGCCAGCTTGACGAGGCAGAGGGTCTCCCGGACCAGAAGCCTTCATCGAAGGAACCACCAGGTCTAAAGAACCCGTGTGTTCAGCAGAAGAGGGGATGGTCAGAGAGAAAAACAGCAGAAGCAGCTTCAAGGAGAAGAAAGCTACAGGGCATCTAACATCATGGGTCCGGACCCCATGGGGGTCTGTGCGGCCCCCCGTGCCTCAGCACAGGGGCTCACAAGAGAGTGTGCTGGCCGCAGCGACGGCCACATTTCCCACGGGGGGCGGCAGCTCGCTAATCAAGGCTTTCTGGCTTCTGTATCAACCCTGTGAACACAGGGGCACAGCTTGTGTTTGTTGAGTGACTGACTGATCTGGAGAACTCTAAGCCCTTTCCTACAGTTCAGCATCCACAGCCAAGTCCAGTCCCCAGGGGACACCACTACAGCACAAACATCTGCTTTGTGAGTGCATTTTACCTTCACATCTTGTAATGTTTTTATTTATGTTTGAGAAAAAGAGAGACAGAGTGGGAGCAGGGAAGGAAAGCAGAGAGAGAAAGCGAGACACAGAATCCGAAGCAGGCTCCAGGCTCCGAGCTATCAGCACAGAGCCAGATGCGGGGCTCGAACCCCTGAACCACGAGATCGTGACCTGAGCCGAAGCCAGAGGCTTAACAGGCTGAGCCACCCAGGCGCCCCTTACCTTCATATCTTGATCCATCTGGGTATATGAAAGTGCCACGGCCATGTTTTTTGTTTTTAACGTATTCTCCTATGTATCGAGCGCCACTTTTAAATTTGTAGATCCCCTGAAACACGTTGGTTACATAATTCATATCATTCCTGAATTCAATACTCACCCATAGAGTATTCACGAGAGAAAACGACCCACTCACGTCACCAGTTCTGACCTGGCCGTGCCTTTTACCGTGTTGGTAGCTCCCTTCATACGTGTCCCCGTTGGGCAGCCTTGCTTTCCCGTGTCCGTGCCGTTCACCTGCCTCATTCCGTTCCCCATCGTACTCCTGGGCAGAAGAAAGCAGGATCATCACAGCTACCGTGTGTTCAGCACTAACGATATGTTAAAGCATTTTGTAAATAGTGGTTCGTTGAAGCCCTCCCAATCCTCAGCCCCATCTTACAGGTGAGGTAGGTAACTGCACCTGGGCGACATGGGGCATTTGTCCAAGGTAACACACTTAGTACCTGTCGCTGGTGGAAGCCTCACTCTCTCTCTGCCACGTCTGAGCTTGTAACTTATCATGATAACCCTTCACACTGTAAACAAAACTCAAGGTATTCCAAATTGCGTTCTTTATAGCAACGTGTTTGAACTAACATATGTGGGTGGAATCGGTCCTCGGTCACACAAGTACCTCCCTGGTGCTTCCTTCAACAATCCAGGACTTAAAATGCAAAGACAAGTCTTCCTTCAAACGATTCCCTGGGCGCACATGGTCTCAGGAGGCGCCAGTGGGAGAGGAAGCAGAAAGGGGGCGCTGAGGCGTAAACAGGGCTCAACTGTCACAAGAGTCCCTAAGTCCACTTAGTTTAACTTCCTTATCAAGAGACTTGAGTTTCAAACACTCATAGACTCATATGGCAATAATGACGTATCTGAAAAGTAAATCTCTCTCTCTCTCTACACACACACACACACACACACACACACACATATATGTATATATAACACAAGCTTGCAATTCACCTGTTTCCTCTGACCCTTCATAAAATAAACCTTCCTCCAGCACCTGATCACAAGTGCAAAGTGCACATAACAGATAATAAAAGGGCCAAGGCACAGAGTAACGATTTGACATAGACCCGCATCTGCATGGACTTATTACAACACAAGTTCAAACACAAGTTCAAGTTCCTGCCGGGGCTTCAGACCCCCTTTCCCAGCACGATCCAGCTCAGAAATCCGTGCTCAGGACAGAAGGTAAAAATGGCATGATCTTACACACTTGTTGCGGGGTCAGTCTAAATCAAAATGTATAAAAGCTTTTGAGGTCTGCTCAAAAGACCTCCCAGTGCACCCCTACTGAGCCAGTGGGGTGACTGAACAGGAAGGGAACCCTTTAAAACGACCCCAGCTGTGATTGAAGCTACAAATTGCGGGCACCAAAACGTGACAAACCAGCAGGGCTATTTGAGGAGACAAACTTGAAGTCTTCCTGGGCTGATGTTGTAGGTCGGGCTCCCCCGGAAGCAGACCCCGAGCAAGTGGTTTTTATAAGCCCTCCCCGAGGAACCGGTAAGGGGGATGGGGAAACAGATATGAAGGAGGAGGCCGCCCAGCATGGGGATGTCAGGAGGTGTCCCAGACTCGGCCTCATTGCACGAGGGACCCTGCAGCGCAAATCCTGTGGTTTGCGGTGCTGTTAGCACTAGCCGCTGGCTGTGGGGACAGCGTGCAGATTCCAGGCACTTCTGGCTCTCCCACCTGGCCAGGCGGCTCCACGCGATGGAGGTGCTAGTCTTGAGCAGAAAATGGGGCAGAGGCTGAGAGACGGGCGCACAGAATTGCCAAAAGGTCTGAGCAGGCACCAAGACATCCGGCCCCGGAGAGGTGCTAGGTTTTCAGTTAATTCTGAAACTATCTCGACTCTGTGCCCTGAACGCACGCACCGTGGCTGGGGTTCCCAGCCTGTCAGCCAAGAAATGATCACCCCTGGGTTAGACAGTTAATCTGTGGATATGGAGATGGATAGATAGATAGATACACACACGCACACACACCTATGCCCACCCTGCACCCAGCTCACATCGCGGGATGTGCACCCCATACCGCCTCTCTGCTGCCCAAACCCGGAATAATGCCAGAGACTCGGGTCACCTCCCACCACACTGAAGAAAGCACACGGCATTCCGGGCCTGCAGGAAGCCTTCGCTGAGCCTGAGACCCTCTGAGCGTTTCTTGAAGGTTGCCAGGAAGAACTTTCCTCCATCCTCCTTGATCCCGAGCAGCCGAGCTCCATTACAGAGCAGCATGGCAGGTCGGGGTGACCCCGCCAACCAAGGAGACTGCCTGGGCGGACTGCGGCAGCGGGGTCGAGGCCGCTTCCCAAGTCTTTGACTTGGAAATCTTTGCCTTTAATGGGAGGCGGGCTGGGGAGGGGAGGAGGCGGCGAGAAGGGATGTGGCCAGAGACGTCACAGCGTTTCACCTTTCACCGCCAACTTCCAGGCCGCGGTGGCCGGCGCGTCCCCGTCCCTGGCTGGGCCGCCCGGGGGACTGTGGTCGGCCTCCGGGGGTGCGCCTGGGAAGCACCCCCCCCCCCCGTACACCCGGAGCTCTCACCCCAAGATCGTTTTCTCCCTCCTCCTCCAACTCCTCCGAGCCCAGGTCCGACATGGCCTCGCCTCCGTCTCGGTCCTCGCCGCCACCAGCGCGTCTCTGGTAGGTAGGTACACGCTGCTCGCACAGCCGCGTCCGCCGTCGCCATGGAGACGCGGCCCGTCCCGCCTCCCCCCCCCCCAGCGCGGGCGGAGGGATGGGGAAGCGTGGGGCGGAGCCACTGGCCGCGTTCGGGTGCTGTCATAGCAACGGGAAGGGGCACCTCGACCAATCGCGGCCCGGGAAGATAGGGGGCGTGGCCTGGGGCGGGAAGGGGCGGGGTGGGAAGGCGCGGGGCGGAGCCACTGGAAGCTCTCGGTGCTGTCATAGCAACGAGAGGGCCACCTCGACCAATCGCCGCCCGGGAAGAGGGAGGGGGCGGGACTTGGGATGGGCTTGGTACCCACCAGCTCTCCTACCTGGACCCCGTGTGACAGGTCCCGGGACTCTTTAGTTGGAGGCTGGGTGATCCTGTAACGTGGAGCCACCTTTGGACCAGGGCCCTAAAGAGTTGGTGCACAGAAGACACACCGGGCCAGCTCTCGAGAGGGCCTCATTTCTGCCCCGCGCTGAGCACGGCCCCTTCCCACCCCTCCCCTTGGCTTCTTGAGTCCCTCCGTGGGCCCTGCCCGCTCTTCCTCACCTGTCTGGGCCCTTCTGGCCCTTCAGCGTTAGCAGTCCAGAGACATGTGTCCGCTGAGATCTCTTCTCATGTTTATAAACGTCTCCTGAAGCGCAAGGAGTCGGCTCCTCGCTGAGGCGCTTCCACACTGATGCCCTGCAGGGTTTGACGTCCCATCTCCACCCTGAACATGGGTGCAGTCCCCTTTATACCCGAAGGAGGAAAGGACTTCAGCTCCATGTATGATCTACCCACCTGTCATCCATCCATCCACCCATCCATCTAGCGATCGGCCCCCACAGCACCTAGAAAGGTGTTTTTCCCACAGCCGGTGCTCAGCCGAGCCAGTGAAATCAGTCCACCTGAGCCTTTAGATGCCTGGTGAGATGGAACTATGGTCGAGGTCTTTCTTCATCAGTTGCACTTAAAAGAATATCTTGTGGTGTGAATAGAGAAAAGCCACCCAAATGAGAACAAGCAAAGCCTACTTATCCAGAGCTTGCTACAGCAAGGGACTCAGCCACCATCATTTGCATTTTGGCGGAGATTCACAGGCAGGCAGGGGATTTGGCAAAGTTGACAGTGGAGAACAGGGAGGCTCCAGGTGCACCCCGTCAGAGGCTGTTGGCCCGGGAAGCTGTAGGCAGCTAACTAGAAGTGGTGATGAGCGAGCACAAGGCAAGCTGACACCTCGCAAACACCCCCCACCCCCAGGTGGGATTGTGTAACATTCCTCGGGCACTCCTGGCTGCCCAAGAACAAAGGAAAGCGGAAAACAAATGGCTAACTGGTAGAGATCATCGACCCGCACGACCTGAGTCTCCATCTATTTACAAATATCTTAGTAAATTACAAGAAAAAGGCAATCTTATCAATAGCTAATCTCCAGAAACCTAAAGACTCCGTTTCCTGGAGCCCCAACATCACCCCCTCCATTAGTGACGTAGGGAACAAAGGCAAGAAGGAAATGGCAGGTAAGATTAAATTTCCTTCTAACCTGCAGCCCATTGACAACCACTTGAGGCCGGCAGAGTCCAGCGTCTCTCCAGGAACTCCCTGCTGTCTTAATGCTAATGCTTTGCTAGAGGGAAAAACAACCTTAACTTGACAATAGCTAGGCCTCCATATCCTAGGAGTCTTCTTTAGCATATGAAAATCCTTCTGGGAACTTCCCCTTGACTTTACCTCCCTCAACTCCCAAGTATATAACCGGTCTCTTCTCAGGGTCTGGGGCAGCTCTTCCTTTCTTGGGTCCTGTCTTAACAAAATCACCTTTTTGCACCAAAGACGTCTTCAAGAATTCTTTCTTGGCCGTCAGCTCTGGACCCCACCATCACCCCCAAACCTCATCAGTGGGACATCCCTAAATGATTGGTTATCAGTGCAAATTGGACTCCCTCTGGTTGGTCCTAAGCTGGAAGTAGGGAAAATGGTCAGGAACTGCTCAGTTATTAATCAAGTCCTGGCCAATTGTTACAGAAGTTATGGTTTGCTCCTAGACCAATTGGTAGAGACAGAGGACTGACTGCCGACAAGCCTGACTTACAGCACACTGGCTTTTTGGGCTGGTTCCTATAAATAATGGGTTGGTTTCCTGGGCTGTAGCTTGTGCATCAGAGTTCTATTTTTCTATACGACTTGGCCATCATACATTTGTATATCTGATTTCTAATGTGTTTTTGCAAGTTATACAAATAACTGTGTCAGCTTAAATCTAAATACTGTTGCTTTTTGAGATTTAGTACCTTCAGCAATAACAATAGCCCAATAGTTTTATTTCTTTAAACCCATTTAAGTACTCAAAAAAAATTGACCTAAATGGGGAGAGGGGGGAGACCGGTCCTAAAGTCATCATTGGAAACATTACCCATCTAGAGCCAGAATGCCCAAGTTCCAATTCTGGGTCCCCATGGCTTTGGTGACCTCAGGCAGTTCAGCTGCCCTCTGAGGCTCGGATTCCTATTTTGTAAACTGAGGAGAATATGCCCTTCTAATCTCAAAGAGCCGCCACGGGGACCAGAGATAATATTTTATTAACGTATTGTCATTTATTGTGATAGCTACATCATGTTAACAACAAAAATATTACCAAGAAATCACACATCCTTCATAGAAAGTTCCCCACACACCCACCCCAAGGTGTGTCGTTTGTTGTTGCTGTCAGAGTAGGGGAGGAGTGGCTGAGGAAACAGAGTTTGATCTTGCCCGACAGCCTTGTGGATGCCACATCCAAGAAGGGAAACATCCACAGATCTCCCAGGTCACACACACTTTGCAGGCCTTTCCTTCAGAAACAGTGACAGAAAGGAAGATGGCGATCTTAACCAAACCTCAGGCCCAAACACATCATTTACTGAACAAAGAAACAATTTACAAGCTGATTAACACACAAGACCCTACAATTAACATTATTTGTTAGTTGCAAAGAAAAAAAGTTGTAAAAAAAAAAGTCAGGTGTTTGGGATAAAGATGATTAAGATTTACTTTTATGCTTGACGGTTGCCACACTGACTACAATTGTGTCTTTTTATAATTAAATGTCAAAAATATTTTAATGTTAGAAATCTGTGATGATAATAGTAACAGAAATAAATTTTGCTTTTATGCATGTGAAACTGTCGGAAACTCAACTTTCAGATTTGCTCTAACAATGACAGTAACTACGGTTTGCTAAGTTCCAACTTGTGCTGGCAGTGTTCTGTTGTTGTTTTTAATTTTGTTTAATGTTTATTTATTTTGAGGGGGGGGAAGGGCAGAGAGGGGGAGACAGAATGCGAAGCAGGCTGCAGGCTCGGAGCTGTCGGCACAGAGCCGGATGTGGGCCTCAGACTCACGAACCACGAGATCATGACACCAGCTGAAGTCAGACACTTAACCCGCTGAGCCACCCAGGCGCCCCTGGGCTGGTGGTGTTTTAAGAGTTTTATATGAATTATCTTATTAAACCCTTGCTGCCATTCCCCCACCATACAGTTAAGGAAAGGAAGCCACAGAGAGGTAAAGTCTTTGCTTGTGATCATAGAGCCAGCGGGGTTCAAAGCTCATACCCCTACTGCCTCCCGGATCTCTGATTTAAAGGAGTAACTATGGTTTTTGAGGACTGGCCTTAACCATCTACCAAGCAGAGAACCACTGGCTCAATACGCTTTAGATTGGAAAAAATACAGCAAGTGGCATAAACAAACCCTGTTCTGGATCACATCGTTAGTAAGCAGCTGGGTATCTGGCCATAGCACTGGTGAACCCTAAAATTTACAACTTTTGTCCCACGCACAGTAGTCAGAGTTCCCCCTCCCCCCATCTTTCAATCTACAGTAATTTCACTACACGGCAGGTTTAGCAAGTGTCCAAATAAAGCAATACCGGGTGACAGCAGGGCCGCCTCCCCAGCCTCCCACAGCAACACGGGACCTGATCCAAACTCCTCCTTCCAGAAGCGTTCCCTGGCTCAGATCAGGCTCTCTCCCTCGCAGGAGACCTGGGGAGTCCCGGGAAGACTTCATCGGGCCAAGCCGGTTCCTGGCAGCTTGACCCCTAACTCCCAGGTGACCCCGAAGTGCCCGGTGATCACAAGAGCAGCGCCCTCAAACTCCAAAGGCCTTCAAAATGCTCGCTTAACTCATCCTTTGCCTTTCTTTGGGGGAACGAGGGGCAAAAAGGTGAGGCCATCACCAGGAGGGGAAAAAAGGAAGAAATCCTCCTCTACTCCTTCAAAACCTTTTCAGGGAGGCCCTTCCCGTAATTCCCCCGCAAGGGTCTCCCGTCGCGCCCCAGCCGGCCCTCCCCGCCACCCGCCACCCGGCGTTTCCCATCATCCCCCAGGGAGCTCTTCCCAGCATCCCCCACGAGGGATTTCCCATCCACCCCCGCGGCGAGCTTGCGCAGAGGCGGCGCTCCGTGAAGACTGGCGGGCGCGGCCGGCGGGGCCTCGGGTGAGTGCGGACGGGGCGCGCCCACGGGTCCGCCCAGCTCCCTTTCTCGGGTAGGAAATCCTCTTCTGCCCCTTCCCCGCCGTGTGGGTGACGGAGGCCACCTCTCTACCCACCTACCCTCCTCCAGAACAAAGAACGAGAGCACAGGGGCCCGACTGGAGCGGGTGCCCCGAGCCCCTCGCGTGGGGGTGCTCCCGAGCGGGGGGGGAGAGGGCTCTTGGAAGCCCTCCTGGGGGGTCTGTTACCCAACCGTGCACACCTTTCTGACCCACTTCCGAGCGGAGGGCTGGAGGCCTGGCGGTTGCCATGGCAACTGGGGGAGTCCCCGAGAGCCGTCCCTTCTGAGCTCTTCAGGACCGTGCATGGGAAGCCCTAAGAACTGAGGACGGTGGGAGGCATGCCGGCAGGCCTGTTTTGTTGTGTTGCCTTTGCGGCAGCCGCTCAGAGAATAAGCAACAAAATGA